TTATATAAGTTGGTGCAGACGTCTCATCGTGTTTGTTTGTTGATGCCGTTCAGACTTTTTGTCGTTTTAAAAGCTAAGCGTTGAGATATTAATGTGGAAGAAGCAGGATTCACGTTCAGATTAACAGAAAACAGTATAAAAACATTAAAAAAACATTAAAAACAATATGAAAATGTTGCAGCATGAGTCCCAGAAATACGTTTAAAATGTGCAATACTGTAATATTTATTTAAAAATGTAAAAAACTGTGAAAATGATGGTAAATATCTGTTAAATCATGTAATTATTTAGGACATTTAACTACAGTAAACCTATATGTTATTAGTCCGTTTTTTCTTCTTCTTTTTTTTTTTTTTTTTACAGTTTAAAGTTCTTATTAAACTGTTTTCTGTGATTTTGCTGGAAGTTATCTGTAATTTAACAAAACAGGAAAATTCTGTAAAATAACTGCTAAAGACTATTTGTCAATTTAAATCCTTAATTATTCTTAAGTAAATAAAATATTTGTACAATAATGACGTTTTATTGCAGATTTAAATGCAGGAAAACTGATTTTACACATAAATCAGTCATTTTATTGAAACTAATCTCACATAGTCGTTAGTCATCATTAATTAAACAACAGATAGAATCAGTGAGAGGTTTGTGTGTTTCTAGAAGGTTCCGGATCTGTGGCGCTGCTCGCTGGACGCTGTCACTCTCAGATTAGTGTTTCATCCTGAGGAGCTCTGATTAACGGAGAACTCATTAACGTTGTGTAACGGTCGACATCCGGACGGCTTGAAACCAACAGAGACGGTCAGTCAGGAGCACGTTTAGGACTTTAAAGATCTCCACCAGAAACATGGAGGTCATGAAGGCAGCTTCTGACATGAAGGAGGAGCAGAACAAACATCAGAGACACCTTCAAGAAGTTTTGTTTCTCTACAAGTGTTGAACCAGAAGCTTCACAGACTGTAGAGTCCAGATCAGACCCAGAGGTTTCATCAGAGCAGTGACGTCTGCTGAATGCAGCCTCTGATCCAACCTGTTGTTGTTGTTGTTGTTGTTGTTATTATTGTGATTGTTGTTGTTGTTTCAGAGCCATGAAGCTGCTGCTGCTGCTGCTGCTGCTGACCGAGGCGTCCTGCAGGTCTCACAGCTCCTGGTGTGATCTGGGCTGCGACTGTCGAGGAGAGCTCAAGTTCACCATCTGCTCCGGGGCCCAGCTGACCCAGCCGCCCGGCCGGGTCCCGTCCACCACCGAGCTGCTGGACCTGTCCGACAACCGCATCTCCTCCATCAGCGCCCACTCCTTCAGCAGCAACCGCAAGCTGCGCGTGCTGCTGCTGCAGAACAACAGCATCAGCCTGGTGGAGGACGGCAGCTTCTCGCAGCTGGAGTTCCTGCAGAAGCTGGACCTGAGCTGGAACCGGATCGCCACGCTGACCGAGGGCTTCTCCATCGGCCTGACGTTCCTGCGCGAGCTGCAGCTGTCCCACAACCGGCTGAGCAGCCTGGACAGCCGCAGCTTCCTGCACCTGGACGCGCTGCAGCGGCTCAACCTGAGCAGCAACAGCATCCACAGCATCCAGGTGAGGACCTTCTCGCCCATGAGCGCCCTGCGGCAGCTGCACCTGCAGGACAACCAGCTGGGCTCGCTGAGGAGCGGCATCTTCTCCATGCTGCGCTCGCTGGAGGTGCTCAACCTGGCCGGGAACCGCATCAGCGACACGGAGATGGGCGTGTTCAAGCCGCTGACCAGCATGACGCTGCTCAACCTGGCCGACAACCACATGTCCACCATCTACTTCAAGACCTTCCTGAGCATCCACACCTACAGCACCCACATCCTGCTGGAGGGCAACCCCTGGAACTGCGACTGCGACCTGCAGAGGGTGTTCCGGAAGCTGCGCAGCATCCAGAGGCTCTTCCTGGACGACTACTACAACCTGACCTGCAGGGCGCCGCCCGTCCTGCGCGACTACCTGCTGATGGACGTGGACACGGAGCTGTGCATCGCCGAGACCGTCACCGTGCTCATCATCTCCGTCACCGTGGTGATCACCGTGCTGGCCGCCATGCTGATGGGCGAGAGGAAGAGGAAGAAGAAGAAGAGGGGGACGCACTGGACGCAGCAGGGCGAGCTGTCGGACGAGTCGGACTACTGACGGCAGCCTCAGACTCTGTGAACCCCTCATGTTCAGGTCCTTCATCTGGTTCTTCACAAACTGAGCTCCAGAAACATCCGAATGCAGCCGATCGTCCCCAAACCGATGATTCATAATAAAACGTCTTCATCACTGAGTGCTGCTTTTTATACAACATCATTAAACTCAAGCCTGTGTGTTGTTTAAGTCCTGCTCATGTTTCTAAATGTTTCTTAAACAGGAAACCAGAAGGTGTCTCCAGAAGTCTGCAGCGCCCCCCGCAGGTAACAAAGCTTTACTGCACTTCAGGTCATGTTGTGGCAGCAGCTGGGTGTGGTTGGTTGTTTCCTGGTCACACAAATCATTCAAACTCTCCTACATGCTCATGTTCACACAACTGTTTGTTTTTAATGAATTATTCACGAAAGCTTCCAAAAAAACTGAATATTGTTGCTTTTAAATGATCTTCTGTCTAAATTTTTTGCCATTTAAAGACAATTAAAGACAATTAAATCTATTTTTCTGCCACTTTTATTTTAGAATTAGTGAATTTTCATACAAATGAGAAAAAAAGAAGTCAAAAATGTGATTGTTTAATGTTTTAATCTGGTTTCAGTCAGTTTACTGAAGCAAATGAACACAGACGGTCGTAGAAAACCAACATTAAGCAGCTTTAAGGGGAATTTCAGACACAAAATCAAGATTTAAGTTCAATTTAAATCATTTTTGTGACACTAAAGGTGAATTTGTTTCCTATAATAATGTCACATTTATCTTGTGTTTCTCTAAATCTAAGCAGCATTTACAGATTTATGGACATGATAGATAAATAATCCTAATAAATAAGCACACTGTGGTTCCTTATTGTTACTATTATTATTATTATTATTGTTTATGTGTCTGTAGGGAGGTTGATGCTCTTTGTGCTGGTTTAATATTTTATTCTTATTGACCGTCACCTCCACACTTCCTCCTCTTCAGGCTCCGGCTTTGCGCTGAAAGCCGCCCGGTGTCTCTTTAAAGTGAATTACTGGGATGTTGTTCAATGTTTTGACGCTCATTAGCGCAGGTTTCCCTTTAATTGACACGCTGGAGACGTTTAGGCGGAGTCGCTCCGCGGCGCCGTCAAGTGGCGGAAATTACCTCAGACAGTCGGCAAGTGTCGACAAAATAAAAGCCTCAGAAATCCACTGAATGTTGAATTTATTGACGTTAAAACTAATGAGAAATGAGAAAAGAGACTTTTGTTTGTATTACTGAAATAAATATTAACTGTAGGACTCTAATACTTGTTTATTTTTATATATTTTTGTTTTTTATTAACAGTTATTTAAACATTTTCCTTTTTCCACTCGTGGTTTGATCTGAAAATAGAGAAAAAATCTGCAACCAGCTTATTTAAATGTTATGTTATTTTATTTTTTATCAATAATGTATAGAAGGTGATGTTCTATAATCAGATATTAATTAATTGTGAGACTCCTGCTTATTATTTAAATTAATTAAACGATTTCTTTGGATAAAAACGAGCTTTACTTTGATAAATGTCCCAACATAAGTTCTAGTAATAGAATATTAAACAGGATAATATCATCACTGTTGGGTTTTAAATGTAAATAATGAATAACAGCTCAAACATTTTCCATAAACCATCAATAATAAATTAAAACTAATATTAGTTTAGTCACTGTGAAGAAGAAACCTGAGAGAAGTTTATTTACTTTGATGAACTTTATTATGTAGAAAGTTTTTAAAGCACAAGATTATAAACAAAATCAAAATTTTTATTTATTTTATTTAATGTTTTTTTTTCTGTTTCAAATTTGTCTGGGTTCCTAATTATTTTAATATAATATAATGTAATTTATTGTAGTATTATACAAATTGTTTGGGAAAAGAAAAAAAAATCTCTATATATAAAGCGTTATAGTGTGATATAATTTATAAAAAATATATATATATAATGCGTTGCTGTGTAATTTAAATTATAAAAAATATGAAATAAGATCATTTAGTTCACTATAGTGTCATATAATCTATTTTAAAATACATTTAACAATATAATGCATTGTGGTGTAATATGATTTATAAAAATGTGGAATAGATTATAGCATAATTATTTGTAATGTCATGTAATTTATTAAATAATATATGTAAGACAATTTAATATAATTCATTGTAATGTTATATAATTTATTGAAAGTAAATTAGTTTATTAAAAATAAATGATATTGCATGATATAATTTATTTAAAAATATATATAGTATAATGCATTGAATTGTAATATAATTTATTTTTAAAAATGCACATATAATATAACAATACAATCTAAAGCATTGAAGTGTAATATAATTTACTACATATGTAATTTATTTTCAAATATATCATATAATGTGCTTTAGTGTAATGTAATGTATTAAAATAATCATATAGTATAACATAGTAAAATATAAAGCATCAATTTACTTTAAAAATAAAATAACATGTTTTGTATATTATTTATAATTATAGTCCGCTCTGTGGTTTATTTTGGAGGATGACTCCGGAAGCTGTAACGGTGGTGAGAGGGCAGCTTGACGGACTGTCTGTGTGAGGACAGGTGGGAGCTCCGGTTTGACGAGCCGCTGTTGTTCTCATTACAAAGAAACGGCGAGAACCGGAGAAAGTCTGAGAATTCACACCGAGATACGAACACATGGAGCGGTGACGGCGGACCCACCGACACACCCGCTAGTTTAACCCGCTAATTGTGACGCTTTCCAGTGAGAAATGTGCGAACGAAGAGAGAGAAATTCAAGAGAAACTGCGCAGTCATAGTTTAATGGGAGCGGTGACCTGAGCAGGTGAGATCGATCATCTGCTTTTCCGCTGATTGACTTTAAATTCCCTTCAAACGGATTCATTCACTGAAGCATCAAGTCTCTGCCTTCACGGCCGCTTCCGGTCCGGGTTTTAATTTAATTACGTCTCCTTAAATTCTACAACAAATGAATGGAGTTTGGCTTGTTGTCGTTTAAAATGAGCTGCGGCTTTGTTCCGAGCGTCTCTCACTTCCGCACTGACAGCGGACGGTTTCCAAGCGGTGGTGCGAGGACCCGCTGCGGTCCTCATAACACGCCGCTGCTGTCACTCATTTTACGGCATTTTTACTCATTTTACTGCTTTAATACAGTCTGTTTGATTCATGTAATACGTCACAATCTTATTTATTAGTTGTGCTGTCTTTTATTCATCTTTTATTGTCTTTAAATATGAAATATTCAGGTTTATTCTGTTGTTTCCTGTCCTGGCCGCTAAAGCTCCTGTTTGAAAGCTGCCTTATGAATAAATATGAACAATTTAAAACACATTTCACCAACCAGACCAGCTTTAGATGAGAAACCAGAGCGTTAAAACACCTGAAACCTGGATTATACCAACAGAAACACTCCAGAGACGGCTCAAAACTAATTTATTCTATTTGTCTACATAGAAAACAGATGTTTTTGCAGCTTTTTCTCCACATAGAACCAGGTTTGGAACCAAAAACACTCAATTTAAAGTTGTTAAATGTCTTTAATATGAACAAAAAGCTCCAGAATGTGTGGAAACACCTGTTTTTTATACCATCTACATCACATGAGACCATGTCAGGGTCTGTAATCACTGCATTTAAACTGAAAATAAGCCTTTAAATCCACATTTTTGTCCATCAGGACCACATGAGACCAGGTTTAGAACCAAAAACGCTCCATTTAAAGCTGTCAAATGAACTATACGAACCAGAAGACTCCACAAGGTTTTACTTCGTGTGTAGAAACGGTTTAAAAAAAAAAAAAAAAGAGCATTTCACAGCTTTTTAGAGCATCTCAAAGGCACAAGACAGAATCTAGATCATACATCACTGTAACTGACAGAGTCAAATGACAGTAAACCTGTAAGTGCACATTTTTTTCTTCCATCCAACCAAGTTTACTTCTGAACTGTACAAACCAGACCAGCTGATTTTACTGAGACCAGGTTTAAAACCAAGAACACTTCATCTAGAGTTCATAAATGTGGATCATATGACCAGAAAACTCCTTAAATTTCAGAAAAATCCATCATTTCCCTTCANGAGAACCGTCTCCAGCCGTCGGCCGTCCGTACACGTCCGATCCTCTGCAGACACATCAGCTAATCTTCTGGTGGTGATGAAGCAACCTTCTGATGATGCTGCTTCTGCTCCTGCTGCGTTTTAAATGAAGCGTTTCCTCTTGTTTGTGGAGATCAGAGTCCAAACCAACACAACGTTTGTCATCCTGCTGCTCTGTTCACTCCTTCATTTGGAGCAAAGATGAATCACGGTCCGATTAACTCGGGTTTACGGAGATTAAACTCAGAATTAAGATTTTTCTGTAGCAACACTTAACCAAACACCGGCGTCAGCTAATCACCTCCTCCTCTGCTTTTCCACCATCTTTATGTCTCATGTTGTTAAATTATTCCACCGTCGCTTTTAAACGCTTCATAAAGACGAGTTGGTATTCGAAGGGTTGTGGTTCATTTGCCTGTTTGAGAATCAACCTTAAAGCTCAATTATTCACTTAAACCTTAAAACATTTAGTGGTGCTTGTCAGGGAGTGAGTTTTCTTCCTTTTTTTATTCTACTGGAGGTGAAAAAGAAGCAGCTTTAGCTCATTGTTGTGGCTTTTACCTTGCATTTAGCATTCGTCGAGTACTAGATAGTAAACCAGCAAACAAAAATGGATTATGGGTCGAAGAAAAAAGCCAAACAGACCAAATCCTAGCTTGTACATATTTAGTACGTTTCAGTTTTTTAGAAATATCTCAACCAGAACGTTGAATATCGTCTTTAATCACCAACTAGCTCAATGCTAACCTCCATTAGCTTCACATTCTGTCTTTATCCAACCTCCTGCAGCGACAGCATCACTCTGACCCTCAGCAGAGCTTCGCTGTTTGTTTGCTTTTGGATCTAAAGGAGCTTTTTGAACCCGGAAACGCCGATTCAACGAGCAGATAGCCGATTCAGCAGACTTCAGATGGTGCCAACGTGTAAACAAACACACAAACTTTGTGTTTACGTCCTGCAGAAGGGATCAGTCTGGTCCTGGATGTGGCTCTGTGGTTTGAAATCCAACTTTTTGACCAAAATCAAGAATCTTCAGCAGTTTCATATCACTTATTTTCTGAGTTTACTGGAAACTGTGGGAAGTTTAATCAGTAAAACATCAGCTTGTTGTTAAATAATAGATGATTTAAGAGCATTAATCTAAAGTTTCTTCACTGATGCAGCATTTAAAAGCTCAAAATTAAACGTAAGCAGATGAAAAAGCAAAACAATAGAAAAGCACGTGTTCTCTGTGAAGCATTATTTGTTTTAGACGTCCGCCCTGAAGAAACACGACGGCTCGCTGAGCAAACAAGTGAGAACGAGTTCAGGGCTTCAGCCTGCTCCGTCTGCAGCAGCCCGACAGCGTCCGTTTCAAACAGGCGTTCTGTTTTCACCCTCGTTTGCTTTGAGATGTTAGAAAGCTGCCGGCGTCGTGGTCATGTGACCCACTTTGGGTTTCAAACAGGAAGCTGAGCTCAAACAGGAAGCGAGTCGGTTCGGGTGCAGAAATATAGAACTTTACTGATTGTTGCGGCGTCCCTGCAGCTGTTGATTATAAATATCGATTCACGTGTTGTTTTTGCAGATATGAATAAATCACTGTGAAGTCACCTTTAAGCTCCATAAACCAACGCATGAGGCGGCGATTTAGTGAGAAAAAAAACTGCTGAAGTGCAGAAAAATAAGAAAGTCGGAGCTCTAAACTTAAATATTTAGTTTTTTTCTTCATTTACCAACTTGTTTTTATTCTTTTTTTATTAAAATTTGTCTTGAAATCAACTTCAAGAGTCACTAAAAGACTCTGAGAACTTTTTAAAAACTAAAGAAATGCTTCAGAATAAGTAATAAAAGCAGGAATAACTCTGTTTCTGTTGCAGCTTTTAAAAAGACACAAACCTAAGAGGATGAAAGAACAACTGCTGAATAAAGTTCGAGCAAAAACACAGAAAATTAGGGTTAAAAAAAACAAAAAACATTAAAATTGTCACATTTTCTAACATTATAAAAACATAACATGACATAAAGTGAAATTAGTGGCAATCAGAGTTGATAAATATATAAAACTTGATCGTGTTAAAACCCCCAGACGGCCTGGTCGCCCATAAATACTGCTGTATTGTGTTTTTTTGTTGTTGTGCGTCGCTGCTGGCGCCGCCGTTGGATCATATTTTCCTTCGTGTTGTGTTGCGATCTCGGCTCCGGTCACCCTGAGAAGTAAAGTGTGAAGACGAACGTGGAGACGCTCAGCTGCTCTCAGAGAAGCAAAATGTTAGTTAAAGAAAAGTGTGAAGACAAAACAACAAAAGCAGCACAGTGAGACTTTGGCTGATTTTTCACAGACAGATTTTAGAACATCTGAACTTTTTCCTCAGCATCGAACGCTCCAGAGTTTTACCATCGTTTAGCTTATTTTACTGTTAAAACTGGAGCTTTGCTGCTGTTTAGGAACAAAGGAGGACTTATGATCCAGCTATGAGCTCATTTACTGTTTAAGCTTCACTAAATGGAGCCACAGTTTACATGTTTCAACTGACTGTTTCTCCTAAAAGTGAGAAAATCCACAGTTTGTCTGGAATATGTTGTTTACTTTTTGTCTTCTGACTTAACCGCTAGCCGTTAGCGTAGCCGTAGCCGCTGTGAGAGGAGCTACACGAGCTAATGTGGCGACGTTTCGTTTAACTAACAATAGCGACGCACAAGTCGACACAAATAAGACAAAAAAAAAAACAACACAAACAAGTCACACCGAGCAAAACAGGACAAGAAATGAGACACAAACCACACAAACGAGATACAAACTGACTAAAACAAGACACAAAATGACACACACCAACCACAAAAGAAAAATGAGACACAAACTAAACCCAAAACGACACAAACTAGACAAAAAAATGACACAAATAGAACCAAAACGACACAAACTAGACCCATAATGATACAAACTAGACACAAAAGGACACAAAAGGACACAAACTAGACAAAAAAAATGACACAAACTAGACACAAAACAACACAAACTAAACCCAAACCGACACAAACTAGACAAAAAAATGACACAAAAGGACACAAACTAGACAAAAAAACAACACAAACTAAACCCAAACCGACACAAACTAGACAAAGAAAATGACACAAACTGACACAAATCGACACAAACGACATAAACTAGATACAAAAAGACACAAACTAGACAAAAAAAATGACACAAACTAGACACAAAACAACACAAACTAAACCCAAACCGACACAAACTAGACAAAAAAATGACACAAAAGGACACAAACTAGACAAAAAAACAACACAAACTAAACCCAAACCGACACAAACTAGACAAAGAAAATGACACAAACTGACACAAATCGACACAAACGACATAAACTAGATACAAAAAGACACAAACTAGAGAAAAAAATGACTCAAACTTAACAAAAAATGACACAAACTGACACAAATCGACACAACCTAGAAAAAAATAACAGAAACTAAACCCAAAATGTCAGAAGCGGAGCTGCAATATGACAAGCTAACTGAGCCATTAGCGTAGCCTTAGCCACTGTGATAGAAGCTAACTTCCTGCTTTGTGTTTCTTGTTGGGTTGTTGCTGTTTGAGACACACACAGAGGAATCAGTCTGTGTGAAGTCCAGTTTATTTCCTTCAGCCGTGACCCTCTTCTGTCCCACCGTGTCCTCCAGGTGTGACGCACGCCTCAGTTTGGGCCGCCTGCATCTCCTTCCTGAGCGCCGCCGTGCCGCCGGCTCTGAGGACGTCGGCTCAGGGGATCCTGCAGGGCCTCCACCTGGGCCTGGGGCGAGGCTGTGGAGCCATGGTCGGGGGAGTGTTCGTCAACTACTTCGGTACGACTGTTTCTATGTGAAATGCAGCTTCAAGGTGTTTCGTCGCTTTGCTTCAGGTAGAAAAACGTCTTAAAAAAGCAGCGAATCGTTCAGTTAAGTTGAAGTTTGTGATGTTTCAGGTGCTGCAGCGACGTTCAGAGGAATCGGCATGGCCTCCCTCGTCATCCTCCTCATCTTCTCCTTCATCCAGTGTCTGACCGGAGAGGCTGAAGGCAAAGGTGTGTCTCATTTCTGGAAAGGAGAAATTACAGAACATACTTTGTAGTTTGATGTATTTATAAGCCAAACATTTTAGATATTCTCGTTTTTAGAAGTTAATATAAAGAAAACCTGTTATCAAATTAATCAGCACTTTTTTTTTTTTGCACATTTACTGTTCGGAAACAGTTAAATATTGTAAACTTCCTAAAATCATTGCTGCTTTTCTAGATTTCTACGCTCCATGAAGCCCTCTAGTGGTCATAATGTGCATTTATTAACTACTTTTGTTTTTAGTCTTGACTCACCACATTCTGCTCTCTATGCGTTACTGTTTTCAAAATCCACGTCTCTTCCTGCCTCCACAGCCTAAAACCAAACAAAAAAAAAAAAGTTTTGCTGAGGATTTGGATCATGTAGTGAAGCAGCCCTGAGTTCGTTATCGATTTAATGACAGTTTTCGTCTCCTAGCTTGCACAAAAAAAATGAGACAAGACTCAAGAAGACACTAGACCCAATACGACAAAAACTAGACACAAAACGACACAAACTGGACACAAAACGACACAAANAGATCATGAACCACCAGGTCTAGATCATGAACCACCAGGTCTAGATCATGAACCACCACATCTGAACTCGTCGGTTTCAAACCATGTCTTGTGTGAAACCTTTATTTTATTCATGTATTAGAAGTAGAATTTAATTCTATTGTTTCCAATCACCTGGTCCACTGAGCTGCAGTATTTAAAGCTCCGACTGCTCCTCTGAAGACTATTTATAGCCATGTTGGCTGTTTGACTTCTGCCAGACGAAGAGAAAAAATATTGATGCTGGAAAAGCTCCAGAGGAATAAAACCTTTTACAGGCAGAGACGGAAACACGGTGTGAGCTGGTTGTGTTTTTATTGTTTCCTCCACACATGACCCACAACGTCTCTGCTCTGAACATCTCCTCTTCCTGTGATGATGTTTCACAGGTTTTTGGCTTTGAAGTGTTTCTGGGACGTTGAACGCTCATTTGGTTGCTACTTGTTTTCTTATCTTCCAGATATGGCAGCAGACGACAAGGTTGCCATCCTGACCGACGACGAGGAGGAGCAGAAGAGGAAGTATGTTCTGGCCGAACCCTTCAACACGCTGTCGATGTCTCGGCCGGACGACGTCGCGGCCTCGGACGCTCCGCCCGAGCAGCCGCCGGCGCCGCAGCCCGACTCCATCGACTGCTGCGAGAGAATGTGCCTCCGCATCAACGGCCACCTGCTCATCTCCAAGGTCTTCTACTTCTTCTTCTACGCCGCCTACGGCTCGCTGCACCCGCTGCTGCCCGTCTACTACAAGCAGCTGGGCATGTCGGCCAGCCGCAGCGGGCTGCTGGTCGGCATCCGCTACTTCATCGAGTTCTGCAGCGCCCCCTTCTGGGGTGTCGTGGCCGACCGCTTCAAGAAGGGCAAAGCCGTGCTGCTGTTCTCGGTCCTCTGCTGGCTGCTGTTCAACTGCGGCATTGGCTTCGTCAAACCGGCCGAGATGCAGTGCGTGGAGATCGGTGGGTCTCCCACGACGACACTGCCGCCCCTGACAACGACTCCTCAAAGCAACGTCACCAATCTGAGCAACTCCACCAATCCGAGCAACTCCACCAATCCAAGCAACTCCACCAACCACACCAGGAGCCGCCGGAGCTTCCTGGACCTCCCTGGCCTTCCTCAGCTCCTGGACTCGTACGTCGGCGTCCTGCACAGACTCAGGCGGAGCGACGACGCCAACGCCACCTCAGCTCCCCTGGATCCGGCCGACACCACCCAGCTGGTACACAACACCACCCTGCAGACCACCACCACCCCCTCCCCGACCTCCAAGAAGGAGCTCCAGATCGTCTACAACAAGGACCAGGTGGAGACCATCTTCCTGCTCATCCTGCTCGTCATCATCGTGGGCGAGTTCTTCAGCGCGCCGGCCGTCACCATCGTGGACACCGTCACGCTGCAGTACCTCGGCAAGGCCCGCGACCGCTACGGCCTTCAGCGGATGTGGGGGTCCCTGGGCTGGGGCGTGGCCATGCTGCTGGTGGGCATCTGGATCGACCACACCCACATCAGCGTCGAGATCGAGGGCGCCGGCTGCGACCCGCCCAACTACCTGCACGACTACCGGATCGCCTTCATCGTGTTCGGCGTGCTGATGGCCGTGGCCCTCATCGTGGCCACGCAGTTTTACTTTGAAAAGGGCGGCGACTACCAGCAGGAGCTTCCGGAGGTGGTGGAGGACTCGGCGAGCCCTCGGACCTCGCCGCCCGAGTCCAGCCCCTCGGACCAGACCCCCGTCAGCCCCGAGCAGGAGTTCCACTACAGCGACCTGCTGAAGCTGCTGTGCAGCGTCCGCTACAGCTCCGTCCTGTTCGTCGCCTGGTTCATGGGCTTCGGCTACGGCTTCGTCTTCAGCTTCCTGTACTGGCACCTGGAGGACCTGAAGGGCACCAACACGCTGTTCGGGGTTTGCTCCATCCTCAGCCACGTCTCCGAGCTGGCCGCCTACTTCACCAGCCACAAGTTCATCGAGCTGGTGGGACACGTCAGGTAAGAACCTGCCGGGTCCTGGTTTCCTCTGCACCGTGAAGTCCTGCAAATCTGTGGAAGCAGAGCAACCAGGAAGAAGGAGGAGAAGTTCTAAGTTAAATAAACCTGGAACCAACATGCCCAACATTTTCGTCCAAAAACTAAAGGTGGCTCCAAACACTATAGATATTCTGGTAGATTAATGGTAGCAGCTGGACTTGCTTGAGTTCCTTGAAGACGTTCCATCCAAGAGGCTTCATCAGCTCTGACTGACTAGTTGGGAGTTCCACATACTGATATTGTTAAGGATCCATTAACACCTGAGTTTAGGTTTCAAATGGGGGTTTGTTGCTCCTCCTGAGTCCTTAATGCTCCCCCTGCCACAAAGGGGTTCATTGGGGTCTTTTGTGGCGAGGTGCGAATGCGAAACTGAAACTCAGGTGTTAATGCCTCCTTAAGGATATCTGGAACTCCCAACTAGTCGATCAGACCTGATGAAGCTTCTTGGATGGAACGTCTTCAAGGAACTCAAGTAAGTCCAGCTGCTACGATTAAACTACCAGAATAACCACGACCTGGATGACTGAGAATCTTCACAGACAACACTACAGATATTTACTCGTGCTGGAGGTATTGTCCATAAATTCGAGCCTTGCTGCTTTTATTGTATCGATCCAGTCGGTTGTATTTTCCTCTCTGGTCGTCTCAAACACTGCCTGCAGTTCAGCCGATAAGAGTTGTTGTCGAGTCGCTACCGGCTGAGAGACGCAGAATAATTAGTTTTACGCTGGAATCTGCTGCAGATGGTTGAACTTTTGAACAAGACGTAGTGGTTTTGATTAAATGTGACCGTTCTAAGCTCAGATTTGGTTGATTTTTCCAGACAGTTGACGGCTTCGACCTTTAATAAATAAATGGTGTGATTTGGTGTTTTCTTAGAGAGTCCAACCAGAGGGTTAAAAACATGTCTCGTTTGGAAACCTGTTTATCCATAACTGGATCAAAAATACAGCAGAACACCTTGATTTTATTTCTGCTGCTCACTTTTCTACGACTTTAACAGAAAGTTGTTGAAATACGAGTTTACTTTCTCAGATACAAACAGCCAAAGGAAGCGACAGCATTCAGATTTTCACATCTGTAGTCGTCTTCTTGCCTTGAAACCACTTTTATTTCACACGTGCAGGAATCTTGACGACGATTCGATGTGATGAACGAAGAACTCGAGCGTTAGTGTGAGTGTGTGAGTCCAGTGGAAACCCTGCAGCCCGGTGACGAGTGTTTGTTCAGGCGTGAGCGGCTCGGCCCGGCCCGGCCTCCTCCTCGGTGCCGGAGCGTCCCGGAGACAAAGCCTCCATTGATGCTCGGGGTTTGTGCCGGAGCTCGCGGCCGGAGCGGACATTCGAGAGCAACGTGTTAGATTTCAGGCTCATAAAAGTCATGACGTGGAGCCCGAAGCAGCTCCGAGTCAACGGGAGGTGAAGTTAAAGGGAAGGACGCAGCGTTAGAGCAGCATTGATTAACTACCAAACACACCTGCTGGGGGGCGTTCAGGCGCCTCTCATTCATTAATAACTCACAGCAGCTTTTATAGGAACCCCTGCTGCTCAGGATCCTGACAGGAGCTGATTCTGGTGGTTTTACAGCCAAAATAAGACGTTTTAAGAAGCTGTGTGGCTTTTTTTATGATCATTTTTAACTAAAGGGTGAATTGAGACGCTCCCTGCTTCAACTAGAATGTTTGTTTGTTTGTTTGTTTGTTTGTTTGTTTCAGGTCCTAAAAAGACAAAAATAACTCAATTGTTCTGCAAGAAAAAAAGAAAAATGATATAATGTTGTGTAGTTTTGACTCAACTTTGACGTTAAACTTGCTAATTAGCTTCAAATTTTTCTATTTTTCACTTTTTCTTTTTGTTTTTTTGGGGACTGACTCAGTTTAATGACATTATTCAGGAGACAAAACAAAAGTTAAACCGTCGTACTTCTGATTTTCCGTCCGTCTCAGGAGCTTCAAAGCTGCTTTGGAATATTTCTCATATCGAAACCGAGCTTTAACGGACGGTTTTCGGCGACGTTCGGCTGCAGAAACACTTCCTGCTTCAGTGCAAAGTCTGAACGCGAGTCGAGAGCCGCCGCAGGTTGAACGTCGTCTGGACAGGATGTTAATAAATCACCTGTTAAACTACCTGTTCACAGCCGGAACGCCATCTGCTGCAGCGCCACACGTCAGATAAGATAATAAATGTGCCTTTAAGGAGTTAAGCACATGGAAGCTTAGCTGTTAATGCACAAAACCCTTCTTCCTTGAATAAAAAAGTCCTTTTATCCTGTATAAACACCACTAAATGAACCGTTTACGTCCGTTTTTACAAATTTGCAAACAACAAAACCAAAATAATTCAAAGTTCCTCTTGATTTCTGCCAAACTTTCATGTTTCCTGCTGCTCAGTTGTAAAAGTTTTGCTGTTTTCTGCGTCTAAAGTGACAATAAATTAAATATTTTTCGGGTTTTATGTTGTTTTTTCAGACAAGAAACTAATTTAAAGAACTAAATGGACGTATTAGGTTCTGTTTTATAGAGTTTTAAGAGAAATAAGGCGACGATAAAAGACCGACGTCCTGATTCCAACAGCGTTCAATTACCTGAAGCTCATTTAGCTGCTTTTAAAATAAATAAAAAAACCTTCATTATCTTCTACAGTTAATGGTGCTGGTAAATCCTGGACTTCTAACCTGAAATATTTTAATAAATTTGTGGGTTTATGTCGTTTTTTTGCGGCACAGTTTTGTTGGAATGATATTATGAGAGATATTATTTAAAAACTGTTAATTAATGTTTCTTAAAACCCAAGAACGACTAAAAACGTTCATTTTACCGCCACAGAAGAGAAAAAAAACAGAAAATACTCACATTTAAGAAGCTGTAACCAGAAAACTTTGACTTTTTTTCCCCTCAAACTGAATAATCATAAAAATAGTTGATGAATTTAATAGTTAACAGCTGGTTTTAGTTGTTCACCAATTACTGGATAAATCAGTTTATCTTGTGGTAGCAGCTTTTGTTACGGGTGGAGAACGTTCACGTCAGAGTTACGTTTTATTCAAGAAAACTTTAAATTCTAGTGATTGTTGACAGCTATAGTTCACGTTTTTTAGAAAATATCGTCTTTAAATATCAACTAGCTTCCCTCAAACTCATAAATTAGCTTTGTCATGTCTGCAGGAACAACTTTAGTGATCATAGTGGTGGAGTTAAGACGATGTTTTGTTTGTTTCTGGGGTCTGAAGAAGCGTTCTGACCCGTTACGTCAGACTTAAAAGCAGATTATTGTTATTTTTTAAAACATTTTTTACACTTTAAAATATAAATCATCAAACACGACCTGAGCAACATCCATACTTGCAGCTTAATGCTTTTATTTTCACAGAATTTCTACGTTTCTGCTCTGATTTAAGATGAAACTTTGCTTCTGCCGCCGACTGTTTGACTCTTATTTTGAAGAAACGACTGTTTGACTCTTATTTTGAAGAAGCGAACCAACAGTAACGCGACACCTCATCCTTGTCTTGCAGAGTCCTGTACATCGGCCTGGCCTGCAACACGGCCCGGTACCTGTACATCTCGTACCTGCAGAACGCCTGGACCGTGCTGCCCATGGAGGTGCTTCAAGGTGAGGCACTCTGCAGGGACTTTAGGACCATGAGGACGTGACAGGAAGCGGCTGTTTGTCCAACAGGACGCTTATCAGGCGGCGGTTTCCCTCCTGCGGCCTGGTTCTCCAGGACCGGCTGGCTGGAGGGAGGACGCTGTACGACACAGGAACTCTGCACTCGAGCAGGATTCTAGTTAATTAAATCAAACAGTGTAGGGTCATTGTTGATACGAGCAGAGACGGATCCTCAGTGTGCTGTTGGCCCTCTAAACCAACAAACCTCCAGCAGGTGTTCTGTTTAAAAAATCAACAAAAATACTCCGTTTATCAGAGCCAGAAACTGTAAAAAACACAAATAATCACCAGATTTTCAGTCCTTAAACGCATCATTAGAGAAACCAACCAAATCCTTCCTTAAAATCTTGATATTTATTCAAAAGTTGTTTCATTTCATTTCAAAATCCTGCTCAAGCTTCTGCCTCGACTGACTCAGCTGTGACCAGAAACATGAAACTCAAGTTCAGAGAAGTTTTGAGCAACATGAAAGGAAGACGACGAGAGAGACTGAGAGGAAAATAAAACCCACTGGATCAGTAAAGTAAATGTAGCACGGCTCAGAAACAGTGAACAGAGCAGCCAGATGGTGGAGATACATCCAGCTGATGGTGAAGTTACCTCAGAAGGTCAAAGTTTAATAACAAATAACTACAATTATTAGAAATTGTGGTCAGAAATAGAAAGTCAGGGTGACAAAAAACACAAAAAATTAATGATAAAGGCAACATTTACCACTAATCAGTGTAAAATGAGAAAGATTGAGAGCAAAATAAATCATTCTTGATCAGTAAATAAAAGCAGCACGGCTCAGAAACAGTGAACAGAGCAGCCAGATGGTGGAGATACATCCAGCTGAAGGTGGAACATCTTCCTGCAGCTGTACTTATAGTCTGTACAGCCACTTTTCTTCCACTATTAGAGACAAAACTGTCCAGAAAAAGCCACAAAACGACGTAAACGAGACACAAAATGACACCAAGTAGACAAAAAAGAAAAATGAGACACAAAGTTAGACATCAAACCGACTGGATTGATAAAATAAACACAGCATGGCTCAGAAACAGTGAACAGAGCAGCAGGCTGTNCGACACAAAGTGACACAAAACGACACAAACTAGACACAAAGTGACACAAAACGACACAAACTAGATACAAAGTGACACAAATCGACAAAAATTAGACACAGTGACACAAAAAGACACAATCTACACACAAAACGACACAAACTGGACACAAAACGACACAAACTGTCCTCCCTCATCATCCTCAAACGTTCCACCACACTTCCATCCGTCTTTGTTTTTTGACTCTAATTGGTTTGAAGAACACAACTGAGCGCTCTGGTTGGATTCATGTTCCAACATCTACTAGAGGGAGGTTCAGCTGGATGTTTTCTACACGTTTAGAAAACAGTTGCATACGTTTCCTTTTACAAGAGATTCCAGAGATTTTCCAGAGACTCCTTCCACTCCTCTGAAGCCTTTGTGTGACCCTGTGTTCCCTTCAGAGGACAAAATGCTGGCCGAGAACATCCCGGTTCCCTCCAGCCCGGTCCCCATCGCCACCATCGACCTGGTTCAGAGCCAGAACGCCGCCGGCAGCCCGTCTCCGGCCCGCCAGGCCGCCGTGTGCCCCGTGAAGAAGACCAAGCACCAGGAGGACCAGGAGGACGTGAACCGGCCGGCCTGGGTGCTCTCCGGAGCGCCCTGGGTCGCCATCGCCTTCGCCATCGTCCAGATCCGGGAGATGATGAGCGCGTCGAAGGGCGGCGGTCCGCCTCCAGAGACCCAACCGCTGCAGGTGAGCAGACATCCATCAGTTAATCACACTTGGATCACTGAACAGAAACATCCAGACGTACTAAGAAATCAACAAGGAAATAAAATAAAAGTAAAACACGACATCTTAAATACTCACTTCCTGGTAGCACTTTGTTCATATTTAGGAGTTCATATTCGTTCGGTGCAGCTTTACTTTGAGGCTGAAGCTGCATTACTTGCTTTAATAATTAATTAAAGTTGATTATAAATATGTCTGTATGGATATTTCCTCTTTATTTACATGAGAGGAAGCAGCTCAGAGCCTCCTTGTTCTCAGGAGACCAGCAGCTTTTAGTGTTACAGTCAGTTAGACACTTCACAGCGTTTAAGTTCCTGTTACACAAATTTATCATCACAGTCATGATCAACTGTTAGACCTTTAGTACAACACAGTCATGTTCACAAGCTTTAAATTTCACGCACAGAATAAACATTATTGAAATAAAACATGAGCTGAAGCGGGAACCGAGACGATCAGATGTTAAGAAAATGAAAATCCCAGTTTGTTCCAGTTAACTTTCCATCAATCTGAGCAGAAATTTTAAGCTTCTGCTCATGTTTGGCTCCACTAGCATTAGCAACAAGCTAACATTTAGCCTGCTAGCATTCTAAAAGGAGGCTATTAGTTATGCTAATAGCGTTAGCATCATTTAGTTCAAGAGCGATTGTTGATGGAGATGATTTGTGTGACTTATTCGTCAAAAACAAACTGACCAGTAATTATAACAACACACTGTTTCCATGTGTTGTGTCGGTCTGAAGCTTTAAAAGCAGCTTTTAAACTCTGTATTTATAGAGATTGTTGTGAAAATTAGTGCATATATGAGCATGAAATGAGGCGTAAATACCCAGAAAATATTATTTAATACTAAAAAAAAGTTGGAGATGTGATTTAGATTATTAAATGCCTGCATGACTCAGACAAAACTCGTTTAAATTGATGATTTTTGCACCGAAAACTTTGGTTTAAATGACATTTTATATGATTTTTGGTGTTTTAAAGTGAGATTTAACCTGGAAACAGACACTTGCTGGTGTTACTGCAGCTTTAATACGTTTTAAATTAGAACAACATGCTGTTTCCATGCATTGTGTCCATCTAAAGGTTTAATAACAGCTTCTAAATACTAAAAAAAAGTATGTATATGATCATGAAATGAGGCTTAAATGCCCAGAAAATATCATTTAATACAAGAATTTAATCAAAACTCAAACAAGACTTGTTCAAATTGTTGATTTTTGCAGCAGGGATTTTANCACAAGCTTTAAATTTCACGCACAGAATAAACATTATTGAAATAAAACATGAGCTGAAGCGGGAACCGAGACGATCAGATGTTAAGAAAATGAAAATCCCAGTTTGTTCCAGTTAACTTTCCATCAATCTGAGCAGAAATTTTCAGCTTCTGCTCATCTTTGGCTCCACTAGCATTAGCAACAAGCTAACATTTAGCCTGCTAGCATTCTAAAAGGAGGCTATTAGTTATGCTAATAGCGTTAGCATCATTTAGTTCAAGAGCGATTGTTGATGGAGATGATTTGTGTGACTTATTCGTCATAAACAAACTGACCTGTAATTATAACAACACACTGTTTCCATGTGTTGTGTCGGTCTGAAGCTTTAAAAGCAGCTTTTAAACTCTGTATTTATAGAGATTGTTGTGAAAATTAGTGCATATATGAGCATGAAATGAGGCGTAAATACCCAGAAAATATTATTTAATACTAAAAAAAAGTTGGAGATGTGATTTAGATTATTAAATGCCCTCAAACCTCAGACAAAACTCATTTAAATGGATGATTTTTGCACCGAGAACTTTAGTTTAAATGACATTTTATATGATTTTTGGTGTTTTAAAGTGAGATTTAACCTGGAAACAGGCGCATGCTGGTGTTACTGCAGCTTTAATACGTTTTAAATTAGAACAACATGCTGTTTCCATGCATTGTGTCCGTCTAAAGGTTTAATAACGGCTTCTAAATACTAAAAAAAAGTATGTATATGATCATGAAATGAGGCTTAAATGCCCAGAAAATATCCTTTAATACGAGAATTTCATCAAAACTCAAACAAGACTTGTTCAAATTGTTGATTTTTGCAGCAGGGATTTTAGTTTAAATGACATTTTACATGATTTTTGGTGTTTTAAAGTGAAATTCATGCGTGCAGTCACTGGAAACAGACACATGTAGCATCAAAACATGTCCCATAATAACACAACACAGTGTTTCCGTGTGTTGTCTGTCTAAACACCCAGAAAATATCCTTTAAAACGGGACAATATTGACTCAGATGTGTTTTTACGGCTTCAAGACTCAGACGAGACTTGTTCAAACGGCTGTGACTTAAACGTGGGGATTAGACTGGAGTTGCTGACTCACTCACCGACATCCTCACATGATGTTTGATGTGTTAAAGTGAGGCTCATGTTCTGGAAACAGACACATGCAGCCTCGACATGTGTGCCACAGCAACAACACAGCGTTTCCGTGTGTCGTCTGAATGTTCACCGACTGTATAAACAGTGTTTCTTCATCGTGGTTTCACTCACTAATCCGACTCTTCCTCCTCCAACCGGCTGCCCACGCGCTCACTGAAGAAAGGTGAGCTGCTTCTGTGTGCAGAGGTTGATGGAAAACTACTGTGTGTGTGTGTGGTCGGTGGTCGCCGGGCTTTCCTTTGTGTGTCTGTGTGTTGATGCATGTTGTGATAACAGTGACTCATCTGTACCTGCGTGTGGGTCGTGGGCGTGTACATGCATGCGTGTGTCTTTTTGTGCTTGTGTGAACCTCCCACACCTGATCATGACGTCGTGTGAGGCGCATGCATGCCTGACGGTGACGGTGATGATGATGGTGCCACCTCCGTGCCCGCCCTCCGTCAGTCAGCACCTCTGGGTTTCTGGGTGGGAACGTATCATTTAACCTCTGATCCATGTGATTGATTTGGTATTTAGATAATGTCAGCGGCTCATTGTGGGCGTTAAAAATGTCTACGTTAGTCCGTGCGCTCTTGTCTCTACTTGTGTTCTTGTGAAACATAATTAGCCACAGAGCATCACGTAAATCACAAAACAAAAACACATCGTGCTAAACAATACTTCAGTGGATGATCTAGAAAAGCCTGCACGGCGAGATGCATGATCACATGAATCAGACTGATTAAAAAAAAAGAGTTGAGCCTGATGTGAAGGGTTAGAACGAGACGCCGTCCGTGTTTATTCAGGATATTTAACAGCTATTGTGTCACTAAATTGAGTTTTAATGCTAATTTATTGATATTTTTCCAGACAAAAAAAAAACCCGATTATGTCTGCGAGGTTACAGCAACACACCCACAGCCGAGAGAATTCACATTTAAAATAAGAGGCGAACATATGTTGACTCAGCCCACACTGACGAGTTGTCCCACGCCGCCTGATGTTTTGATTTAATTATTCGTATTCGCAGCTGGAGAGCACCTTTCACTGATTAGAGAAACACTTGTATGTATTGTTTGTGTAGGATACTCAGTGCCTCAAGAGTTTTAAAGAGAAAAGTAGCTCAGAAGTTCAGTATGTAGTCGATTTTTTAAAATATTAAAATACCTTTGGAGATATATAAACATCCTGAAAGAAACCAGACCTCCTTGTTCCCTCTACTGTCATTTAAATCGATGCTTTATGAATAATTCTGGCTTCCTTCTGCACAGGTTAGATCAGTTCAAAGCACTTTACTGATTACTGACAACCTAAAAATCAGAAAAACGCAAATGTTATAAAGCAGGAAGTAGGAACGGATGAAAACTGGCAGCGAAACAAACAAACTAATATTTATTTTAAACAAAATAAGTAAAATACACAAAAGAAAGTCAATACAGTGTTGTACTTACAATAAAATCTGCCTTAAAGTCTAATCAGGCCGATATTAAAGGACTAACAATCACAAATGTAGCTGAATATTTTAGTCTAATGAGTCTGATGTTTGTTAATATCGTAAAGGCCGAGCTGTTGCCGTGTCAGATCATCTATTAAACAACTGACTTGTCACAGCGGCAGAACCACAGATAAAGCTAATGCTGAGCAGCCCAGTCATAGACTGTAAATAAAACATGGATGCAGCCTGCACTGGTTTATGAACGACTGTTAAAGTGACTATTTTCCTCTAAATGGGGCAGTAATTTACTAAATTATCATCATATGGTATTAAAATGGACTTAAAACCAACAATTGAGACCATAAACTAATTTGGAAAATGTTTACTGAGGTGACAAATCACGTGAGAAGTTGGGTCGTTTTCAGACGTCTTGTTACGACCAGACTCACCCCCTGCTGGCTGTTAGAGAGAATGCAGGTCAGTTTTCAGACTTGGAGGCTGCGTCCATCTTTTGTATCCAGTCTGTGTTCCTGGTTTTTAACGCGATGATGCTCCTGTGCTTTGTCAAACCATCTGTAGTGTTTAAGCTGCTTTCTCAGCAGCTCAAGTCAGAAAGAAGCAGCTAATTATTTCCTCCGAGACACGTCGAGCTGTCAGACGCGAGACTTGGACGGCAGAGCGGCGAGGTCTCGGACGAGGTCTCGGATGAGGTCTCGGACGAGGCTGAAGACGTAGTCAGATCAGTGAAGTTAGACTCCAGGGAGGTTTGGCTGCTTTTAGAAACTTCACCACAGTAAGAGTTTGTCTTTTCTTGTTTGTGCAACCAGCTACCTAACTAGGCTAACAGGTTAGCATCAGCGTAGTCATGTTTTTGTCGGCTAGCAGCTAGCCACAGGGCAGGGTTTCCTAGCTAGCGCTTTGTTGCTGTTGTTCACTTCAATGAAATGCTCGTAAATGTGCAGCTGCAAAACCCCAATCACTGTTTGTTCCTCCCGTTGCCAGGTACCTAGTGAGCGGGCGTCGGCCGAGTACGACGCCGCCGCCACAGAAGCGCCGGCATCCGCCTCAGAAACGCCTCCGGACAGCACCCACCCAGCAGCCACAGACTCTCACCAACAGCCTCCGACCTCGGACGGAGGAGGGCCGCAAGAAAACCCGGCGTTCACAGCAGAACACGCACACTGACGGTGCATTTAGGAACTATTTATTGGAAACACGCGGCGCTTTGGGCGGGTTTTATTGCTGCGGGGTCGTCCATCTCAACAAGTCGGTGGTAAAATCAGCTTAATGGCTCATGATAAGCTGTATTTATAGAGATTATTTTAAACAATTTGATCATAAAATGAGGCGCAGGAAGAACCGTTTTAACGCTGATTTATTTATGGCTTCAAGACTTGTTGGAATGGAGGATTTTATTAGCAGCTGGGTTTTAAATGTTGGGACTCAACTGGAGGTGAATCATCACCTCTGACCTCTGTGCACTATTATTATTATTATTATTATTATTATTATTATTATTATCATTATTATTATGAACTGCCGGTGGAGTGTGAAGGGAAAACCTTCCTACGTTAATGTGCCTCTTGTTAACTTATTCAACTCAAAGTACTTCGAAAGTGAAGAACCGTGATTAAAATCTGCAGCTTTGTTCGACCGCGTTTAAAAGAAGTGACAACGTTCAGCTTTTACAACAACATCAGCAAAACAAAGTGCGTTTTACGACCTCGTTAGTGGCCGAGGCTGCTCTCGGTTTATCATATCTGCAGTTTCCACGTGCACTTTAACGCGCCGTCGACGTTTTGATATACTGACAGCATCACTGTGGACTCGCCTCACTGTGATGGTTTTACAATAAAAGCTGCTCAGCGTCTCCCGGCTTTTAGTTTCAAGCAGCAGAAGGAGGTTTGCGGTAATTTAATCCATTAAAAACAGCAACTGTTGTTAGTTTTAGTGCGTTAAACGGCGTTTTCAGGTTCAAAAAGACACCGATGTGATACATTCTACAAACAGCGAGCAGAAGTACGTCTCTAATGCGAGCTGATATTTCCATAAAATCTGTGTTTTCTTGTCGGGGAGTTAAGCTGATAAGTGCCTCTCACATATTAGCGTCCCAGTCGTATGCGTCCGCTTTGCTTTAAGATTAAAATAAACCTAAATACTCTGCAGGTGTTTCCAAAGATTCCTGTAAACATCTGGATACTTTTTTTTTTCAATGCAAAAATTAAAAAGTACCATAAAGATGCATCATGACATGAATTAACCTCGACACAGACACATTTAAGTCAAAATAAACGTTTTATTTTTGTTCCGTTTTTGCACAAATTAGTTCATTTGCACCTGATTTAACAAAATTCAAAGAACATAAATTAATAAAAGAGTTCAGCAGTTAGTCAGCAGCAGAAATTGATGGTTTGTTTTCAAATATTTAACACATCTGGATGGTGACAAGATTAAAAAAACAACTGCATTATTTAGCCCAAACAGGCCAGAATGTTCAGCTAAACATCATTTTTGCAGAAATATTTTCTAATATGCTTGAATTTCTGTATCATTACTGAGCTTTTTTGCAGAACTGCATCATTTTTTTCCACATTTTCTGACACCGATACGTTAAAAAGCTTCAGTAAAACAGTGTTTTGTGAATTCTTTAAATGAATTTTGGTGTTCAGAGCGTTACGAAGACACTCGGGTCAGATTTTGTCACTTCTTTTAAATAGAAAACCGGCTCTGGACGGACGTTTGATTTCCTGACGTCGGTAAAGGAGCACACGGTGAAGACGAAGTGCCTCTTTTTAAGCCTCCTAATCATCGTTGTTGTTATAACCTGAGATGTCGAGCAGCGACCCCTTTATCCGCCGTCTTCACCGACGTCTTCGTACCCAAACTGCCAACAGCCGACTCTCGCTCTGCTTCACGTCTTTGACTTTCATGCCAAACTACTCCCAGTATTGCGTGTTTTCTTGTTTTCTTGTCGTCTGCGTAGGAAAGCCTTAAAAAAAAACTGAAGAAACTGTGTTTACTGTCGCGGGGAGGGAACGATTAAAGGACTTTCTGGAGCAAGAGTCAAGAACATGTCGTGTCATCTGTCAGCTTTAATGTGTCCTGAAGGTCAGTTTCAGAGCTTTAATGCAGAATTCTTCATCATATTAGTAAAAAAAAATCAATAACTGTGTCCAGCACTGACCTCCTGTTTGCCTGTTTTAATAAGAAACGGTTAAAAAGTTAAATGAGGATTAAAGGAGCATTAATTTGATCCTTTTCCAGCTAAAACAAGACGCTGAATATTAGGTTTAATGTCGCTTTTGTTTCCTAAAAATGAGTGATGACGACAAAAACAAGTTGGGTTTGAAAGTTCAGACATCACAAGATTTATGAAGTCACTCTTCTGGAGCTTTCAGTCGGGTCACATGATCTTCCTCAGCCAACTAAACGGATTTAAAAAGAACAGCTGCAAAAAAAAAAACATCTGCAGATTTGTTGTTTCTGGACAAAAGGTAAAAAGAACAAAAATGATTTAAACAAAGATGAAGAACAAGCAGAAAACTCTCACAGGTACTCAAGGTCCGCTTACTAACTTTTAGGGCAACATCTCACAGTGTTTCTATTCATAGTGCAGTAAGCTCCAGCGATGACAACCAAAAAAAAAAAACAGTAAGTTGTCCTTGAGTTCTTTATTTCTGCTCTTTCCAAGTTCAAGAATCAGAGACGATTTAACCTGAAAGTATTTGGCGACAAAACAGTCTCGTCCATTTAGGAGCTGTTCTGGAGCTTTCGATCGCATCACATGATCTTCCTCAGCCGACTAAATGGATTTGGAAAGCTCCGGAACATCTTCAAATGTGTTGTTTTTGGACAAACGGTAAAAAGAACAAAGAATCTTATTGAAATCAGAATGTTTTCAACAAAGATGAAGAACAAGCAGAAAGCTCTCACCGGCACTCAAGGTCCACTTACTAACTTTTAGGGCAACATCTCAGTGTTTCCATTCATAGTGCAGGAAGTGAAAGCTCCAGCGATGACAACCAAAAAACAGTAAGACGTCCTTGAGTTCTTTGTTTCTGCTCTTTCCAAGTTCAAGAATCAGAGAAGATTGAACCTGAAAGTATTTGTCGACTAAACCGTCTCGTCCGTTTAGTAGCTCTTCTGGAGCTTTCTCATGATCTTCCTCATCCAATTGAGCTGATTAGAAAACTTCAGAAAAACAGTAAGTCGTCCTTGAGTTACCGTTTTACCTGAGCTTTCAAAGATCAAGACTTAACTTTTATCCTCAAAGATGACGAGGAACCGAGTATTGAGAACCGTCTCACCACAGCGTCCGTTTAGTAGCTCTTCTGGAGCTTTCTCATGATCTTCCTCATCCAACTAAGCTGATTAGAAAGCTCCAGAACAGCTAAATTCTTTGTTTTTAGACAAACAGTCTAAAGAAAAGAAGCTAAGGAGTGATGAAGCTGATCAGATGCAGCTGAAAGCTCCAGTCATTATGAAAACCAGTAAGTCGTCCTTGAGTTATTGTTTTACCTGAGCTTTCAGAGGTCAAGACTTAACTTTACGCTCAAAGATGACGAGGATCAGAGACCAGTACCCACCACATAGACCATTTAGTAGCTCTTCTGGAGCTTTCCATCACTTCACACCATCTTCTTCAGCAGAGGCTTTTATTTTGGCTTTTCTCGCCAGTATTGGCTGAAGTTTACATTTAGAAATGTTAGTGAGGTGGTTGAAAGCTCCAGAAGAGGAGCTGCTGCTGTACACGAGAACGTCCGGCTGACTGAAGTCCAGAACTGAAAGCTCCGTGTTTGAGTTCTGTGTTGAGTTCTTCTATCACACGTCAGAACTTCACAGCAGGAAACACTGAACTCTTTATTCTACTACGGTTTTTAGTTTTTCATAGTTTTCTTGCCAACTTTACAAAAACAGGAAAAATATAAACCATCACGATGCATGTTGATCCACATTTTTACTTTTAATATACGAGTCATTTAAGGCTTTAACATATAATCATAAAAATAGTTGCTTTTGTCGTTTGTTTGTTTTCCAACTAAAATAAACGTATTAATCAAGTAAAAATTCTCTATAATTAACCTTTAAACTGAATATGAATAATTAAAGGCTTTAATGTTTATTCATGTTGCTAAAAAGCATAAAAATATTTGCTTTTGTCACTTGTTTATCTAATTTCTACCCAAAATAAACCCTTTAGGTCAAGCAAAAATTTATTGTAAGTCAACATTTGGACCAGATTTGAATATTGTGAAGCTCAGCTGTATATTTACGTTGTTAAAAAACATAAAAAATAGTTACGTTAGTCGCTTTTGAATGTGTTTTCCAACTAACATTAACTTATTAATCAAGTGAAAATTCACTATAATTTACACTTAACCTGAATATGAATAATTTGAGGCTTTAATGTATGTTTATGTTCCTAAAAAACATAAAAGTAGTTGCTTTTGTCACTTGTTTATGTCATTTCTGCCCAAAATAAACCTCTGGATCTAGTGAAAATTCATTTTAAGTGAACACTTGGACTGGATTTGAGTAGTTTGAGGCTTTAATGTGTATTTATGTTCCTAAAAAACATCAAAATAGTTGCTTTTGTTGCAGGTTTATGTTATTTCCAGCCAGGATACGCTTGTTAATTAAGTGAAAATTCACTATAATTAATATTAAACCTGAATGTGATTAATTTGAGGCTTTAATGTATATTTAGGTTGTTAAAAAACATGAAAATAGTTGCTTTTGTCGCTTGTTTATGTCATTTCTGCCCAAAATTAACCTCTGGATTGAGTGAAAATTCATTTTAAGTGAACATTTGCACCAGATTTAAGTAGTTTGAGGCTTTAATGCATATTTATGTTCCTAAAAAACATCAAAATAGTGACTTTTGGTGCAGGTTTATGTTATTTCCAGCCATGATAAGTTTATTAATTAAGTGCAAATTCACTATAATTAACACTTAAACTGGATATGATTAATTAAAGGCTTTAGCTGTGTGTTCATGATGTTAAAAAATGTAGAAATAGTTGCTTTTGTCGCTTGTTTATGTCATTTTTACCTAAAGCGAACCCATTTATCGAGTGAAAATCCGCTAAAAATGTGAATTCTGTCTGGATTTGAGTCGTTTGCGGTGGACTCGAGCGTCGCTGCTGCGTGCCGGAGCAGCCACTTGATGGCAGTAGCGCTCCGGCAGCGTCGGCGGGTTTCTGGAGTGTGAGCTGGACTCAGCCTGTGTGTGTGTGTGTGTGTGTGTGTGTGTGTGCGTGTGTGTGCGTGTGCGTGTGTGTGTGTGTGTGTGTGTGTGTGTGGAGGGTTATTGAGGTCGTGGTGCGCCTGCTACTGATGGGTGTGTGTGGGAGGACAGTAATAGGCTTCCTCAAAAACTAGACTATGTGCTGTCGTAAAAAAAAAAAAAAAAAAAAAAAAAATATATAAATAAATAAAAAATAAAAATAATAAAATCAAACCCGTCTTGGCACACTCAGCCTGTCTGATATCCGTGGAGAAATTTCATCAGCCCCTGTGCTGCTGAAAGCCGCCGCCGTCGTCGTCGTTGTTGTTGTTGTTTTGTCTTGTCTTTTAATAATGAACAGCATAATAGTGTTGTTTCTCTCTGAGGGTGTCATGACCACGAGCCGCAGAGCGACGCTACACATTTTAATTTAAACGACGCGGAGGGTCGAGGCGAGACGGGCTTTTTATTCTCCGACACGTCTCGGAAAATTGCAGGGAATTACTGCAGCGCTGACCTGCAGACGCTTCCAATTACTGGAGCCGAGTCGCAGCGCCTTGCTGGTGGGCACTTTGGCCAGTCGCAGCAGTGCATTCTGGGTGTTTTCTTCACCTGAAAGTGCAAAAAAATGCAACTAATTTTCATAGCTACCAAGAAAACACACTGAGGTCGTCTTTGTTCGTATCTGAACCCTCACAGATCTCACCGACGAGCCTCATCCAGAGAACATCTTCTTAATTGTGCCCAATTAGCATCAGTATTAAAAGGCGCCATGCTAATCGCTTGCTCTCGTCCAACCGCTGCCCAGATACAACCTGCGGCTATTTTTAGCCTCCTCGCCTCCCGGAGCAGCGGTGGAGAGGCGAGCCAGACGCCCCGAGGAGGAACTGTTGAGTCGAGGTGTCCTCCCAGACGCTCTTCAGGGATCTGCAATAAGCTGCTCTTACACTCCGAGGACACCTGGCCTCAATTAAAGCCTGAAACATGACAGAAATCAATCAAATACGAGCTTAAAAATAACTGCAGCTTCTCGAGGAACCGTTCTAACTTTGTTACGTCTCTACATCAGGCTCCTTGTTGTCGTTCGAGTTATTTTAAGCTCGTCCTTAATTCTTCAATCTGGTCTTTTAGCTGGAACTTTGGCTCTTATTCAGCTCGTAAATGTCGGATTTATGCACCAACAACTCGCTTCTCACAACCGCCATGAAAAGAAATGTTTGACCGGAGTCCAAAAGAACTGAACTTTTCTTTAAATTTTACCTCCTCGTCAGTTTTCCTCGGACGCTTCAGCTCATGAAGCTGCTCAGAACACGGCAGTATCTGCTTTTAATTTGTCTTTTTTCAGAATTTACTGTAAGTTGAAGCATTTTTGGGAAGCAGAGGATGTGAAAGTGTTCAGTATTTTGACAAATAAGCAATTCTTTAAATGAAATCTGCTGTTTTGGGAACCCTTGAATTTGGATTCCTCTTCTCTTTCTGCCAAAAACATATTTTCAGTGTGTTTATTGCCTAAAACGTGCAAATATAAGGACATTAAAATTACTCTTTGGGTTTCTACTCGTTAAGAACAAACTAATGTTGGCTTGTGACTCCATTTAATTTGTCTTTTTGTACAATTTGGAGTAATTTGAAGCATTTTTGGAAACCAGAAGACTTAAAATAAACTATTTTTGGAGGCTTTGAGGTGTAAGCCCTCTTCTCTACGGACCAAGAATATAGTTTAAAGATGTATTTATTGACTTTTGAGTGCTTTAAAACATGCAAATGTGAGGATATCAGGCTTCAAAACACTCGATATTTAATACATGTGTAACTGTACAAGGTAAACCCCGTGTCAGGTC